TTTTTGTGGGTGTGAAATTCACTTGTGTAAAAAAAAAAAAAAAAAAAAAAAAAGGATATTTAACATGCTACTTCTCTGTTAGGGAGGGGGCTCTGACCTTCTTCTTCTGGTTTGCCCTCCAAATCCCTGAGAATCAGCAAAAGGAGATGACTGCTGAGAGGGTAAATGCAACGCTCCACCAAGAGCTCATCACCTGTTTTAACAGCTCAGGCAGCCAGTCCTACCAGGCGGAGTACAAGGTCAACCCCGACTCCCTGGTTCTGCTAGGTAAGTACCATCTGCTCAGCTGTGGCCTGAGCAGTCATAAATGGGCTGAGGCTTATAAAGTGCTGAAGGGGTTTTATGAAAAGAGGCCAGAAGTCATCTGTGAAGGGGAAGGAAAAACCTGCATACTGAAGGGAGTAGGAAAGATGGGAGGAACAAGAGAGAGAACTGTACATTTCTTCCTCATGGAGGAGCACAGAAATTTAACAAACAGCATCCCTGTCTCAAAGGATTAAAGATTCTTGGAGATGTCACCAACCATGACCAGCTAGGTAACAATTTCTTCTTTTCTCTCTCCCCCTTCAGGTTTGGTTTCTATGTAGTCACTCCTTACCCTGGTCATAACTTTGATTGTCTCAGTTAAAAAAAATAGCAAGCCATTAGTTTTCCTGCTTTCCTCTGGGAGATTATTGCAGTCTACTTAATTGTGACAAAGGCAAGATACTTAAGTCATCACTAGTCTTATTCTGAAAGACAAAGTATTGTTGCCACTTCAGTTCTTGACATATCATCTTCAGGATTATTCATTGCTACCCAAATTGAAGAACACAGACAGTTTAAAAAGACACCCTTGCAGAAGTACCATAAAATAGGTATTAGATCAAGGACTAAGGGATATGTCTATACTCAATGCATCGAAGTTCAATGGCATTTGGATTTAGTTCTTACAATGAGATTTAACTCCCTCCGTACAGAGCGCCAAGTCACACAGGTCTTAAAATATATTGTATTTGTACTCTGCCCTTAGGGTCCTCATTTCCAAATTTCATTCCTCAAGCTTATTATCTTGCATTTTTCTAAGATTAATCTTCTTTTAATATATCCCACCATATTTTCTTTAACTTTTCCTTCCACATCTCAACTGTTTTAATTTGATGGTGGGATTTTGGTGCCTCCAAAGAAAATTTGATTTCCTTAAAATGGTTTTCATTCCCTCATCCACATCCTTGCATTAAATCTTATTTTGGATCTGCGTCAGCATCCCATGAAGCCCTCTCCTCCTGCAGTCACCATTAGTCACTTTCTTCTACTTGTGATTTATTTCCAGCTCAACAGGCCTTATGCTCAGCCAATTTAAATTAACTACCTTAAGAAAGATGTTGTAAGACAATATGCTAAATATTTCCAAGTCAGCCCATGTTGCATTTTCCCTTTATTTACTCAGTTCATAATGTAATCCAGAAAGAAACAAAGAGTTTATGGTGCCATTCTTCTACCTGTTCCCAGTTCCATCTTATTCCTTTTGCATCTGTTTCACTGTTTTCTTCATTTCAGGCAGATTTACATGAGCAGACCACAAGTCTTTCTATTTCAGAATTAACACCTACTTGTAGTTTCTCCAGCTCCTTCTGCTTTCCCTAGTCCTTTCTGTTTCCATCTCCAGTCAGAAGCACAGTCTAGCAGCTGTGGCTAAAGCCAAAAACCCCTTAAACTGCTGGGCTATGGTGACCTCAAGCAAGTGATTTAACCTCTGGCTTCATCTGCTGTGTAAAACAGGAGTGAAAAGTGGCAATGTAATAGCAAGTCATTAGCATTGTTTGACAGACTGATTTGCTGACGTGCTTAGCTCTGAATATTAAGTTTCTCAGCAGCATGCCTAAATACACAGAGCTGCAAACATCACTGACTGATACTGGAACATTTTTGGACCTCTCCAATGCTTTAGTTTTACTAACAGCTACACTTAGACCAGAAAACTCTCTTTCCCTTTCCCCTGAAAAGCTTCAGGACTTCATTCTCCTTTCTTGTTAGGACTCAGTTTTATTACCTTCAGATACAAGTATTAACACCAGCTCAGCACACTCCTATGCCCTTCCTTACAGCACAGGAGATTCTTTAGGAGCCTGCCTTATGCCTGCAGGCTCACCCTTTCCACACCATCTCTTTTTATCATGACAAAACTACTCAGCTCTCACCACAGAATTGCAAGCTCAAAGAGCTACAGAAGCCCAACCCCCTGACCTAGGCAAGGCCCCAACAGCAACTCTCACATCAAACTGACCTCATGGTGGCTTTTGTTTTGGCAATTATTCCCAGTAGCAGCTGATCTCTGGCTGCTTCCACTTCAGCTGGGGGGATGAAGCAGGACCCAGCTCTCCTAAAAAGATTGTTCACCCAGGAGCTCTGTTTTGTATAGGTTTGCAGTCCTTGCTGAGGGCTTTCTCTTCATCTCCATCCCCTAAAGATGGGCTCTAAAAGGCTATTCAGTGTTTCATCAACCAGTCATCATCACAAGAGACCTTCTTCTGCTCCCTCAGCATTTCCCATTGTTTTCAATGAGGGCTATGTGCACCCAAGGAGTACATTCCCATTCTTTATTCCCCACTGCTGGCTCTAGTTAGCATTCAACCTACTTATTGGCATATCCACTTGCTGCGCCAAACTCGCAGGCTTGTCCCTAGTTTCCCAGTGCTTCTCTTGCATTTCAGAAGTTTCTTGCTATGGGTGACCCTTTTACAGAGTGTGATGCAAAGCCAAGAAAAGTCATGGGGAAGGACCTGCTTTATATTTCAGACCTTCCTCATTGACCAGAAAGGATGTGTGCTCATCTCCAGGTAAAGGATAGTGGGGAGAGGCAGTGATCTCTCAGGGCAGCCAATGATCTCTCTGGGAAGTGAAGTTATGTCTCTTTGGTGTGGCTTATAGGGAAGGGTATGGCTACCTGAGCTAGTGCTCAGCCCTTGTGGGACGAGGAAGAAGCACCAGAAAAGGCACCAGGAAATGAACAAGGGAAAAAGGAGAAAAGCCTGTGGCAGGTTAGAAACTGTGGATCAAGGCTGTTCGACTTGGGAGAGAGGCCAGAATGATTTCCCAGTGACATAAGATGGAGAAGACATTACTAAAACAGGCCCCTGAGAGCAGATAGAGAAGCACTCGAAGAGTGTCCCATGTCAGATTTGTAAGGGGGCAATTTATTTAGGAAGGGAGTCATCATCATTCATGTTAGCATCTGCCATGCTAACATTCAGATACTGCCACGTTTTCTCTTTTTGTTTATCTTTCTTTATATATTCCCTTTCTAACAGAATCCAGTGTGAAAGACATAATAGTCCTGAAATCCACCCTGGGTAGGCTATCTTTTCATTTTGTTTTGAGTTTGTTATTTTGTGGGCGAGAGCTCTACAGGGGCCAGAAAGTTTGTTGGCTTGCTGGAGTCATAAGTCCTGGGAAGGAGAATGAGAACAGTAGCAAGGAAGCACCAGTTCTGCATCCTGGCAAAAGCACCTGTGGCCATATCTACGCTATATGAAGCAGCTGGATGCTGGAGTGCTGCAGTCTGACACCTCTGCACTCTGTAAAACACCACTGTGAGAGATGCCAGCTCCCAGGGGCTGTACAACCACCTCAGTAAGGTCTTGTGCCTGTCCTGATTAGCCTTGTCAAACACAACAGTACTAATTCCAGGTCCCAAGCAAACCTGTTGAGCCGGGTGGGGGTTTCCCTTCATGACTCTGCCCTGGATGCAGTGTAAGTCATTTAGGAGTCTATGTCTTTTTGATGTTCAAATGTGCTTCAGATAGTTTCAGCCAATGTTTAAAGTGCTGTGGCTGGCAGCTTGCATTAGATATACTATTGGAAACTCACATTTAAACTGATTTTTACTCAACAATCCTGGGCTGGAAACCTGCTGAAACCTGGAAAACAGATAAGGTGAATGTAAAGCAGGGAAGGATATGGGGGCTGAGATGAGAAAGAGGCTAAGGAAAAGGAAAACGAAGCAAGTGGAAGATAACTGTGTTATGCTGATATAAAAAGACTGAGGGAGTATGGGCTTAACCAAGGGAGAGGGGACAGTTCTCACAGTAAGAGAAGACTGGGTCACTAAGAACAAATGTGAAAGTAAATGGAGTTCACCTGGATGACTCAGCTTAACCCTAAAATCGGATTCACATTGATATCCTACATAACAATCCCGTAACTTAATATCCCTTGCCACCGCCACTAAACTCCCCTCCTTTCAGTTTACTTCACCCTGAAGTTTAACTCTTATTTGTTTGGTTTTCTTCCCCCTGGATTCAGGTTGCTATAGATACAGCTATATCCAGGAAGATGACGTCTTAAGACTGGAGGGCCCTGACTACCTGGCCTCCAGTTGTCTTTGGCATCTCCATGTCCTCAAGGGCTACATGATCAAGCTACGCCTGGAGTGGACTCTCCCGGAGTGCAGGGATCGCCTGGCTATGTATGATGCAGCGGGGCCTCTGGAGAACCACCTCATCACCTCGTAGGTAGCTCCTGAGCGGAGCGAGCACAGTGGGGAAGCCAGGCAGGACGGTCCAACACACCACAGCAGGGGAAGGTGTTAAAATACATCAGAGGAAATTCTCTTTGACGCACAACCTGCACTGATGAGCTAAAGTCACTGATGTGGGGTATCACAGAGCCAGCCATGCAGTTTGATAGTTTACAGCAGCACAAGTTATCTCTCTGCTAATCCTTGAATTGATTCAGTTAGTGTCTCACAACAGGCATGTTCTTTGAATAATATAGTCCTCCCCTTGCCTCTCTCTTGTGCTTCTTTCTCTTTTTGCTTGCTGCTAGCTTTACTCACTCCCATCTCTTTTCTCACTCCTTTGCTCTCTCTCCTCAGGATCTATGGCTGCAGTCGGCAGGAGCCCATTATGGAAGTCCTTTCATCAGGCTCTGTGATGTCCATTGTGTGGAAGAAAGCCATGTACAGCTACGATGACCCCTTCATCCTCTCTGCGCAGGCTGTGCCCCTCAAAGGTAATGAAGGCCGGAGGGTGAGGGCCATAGACAGAGGAAGGAGACAGGTTATCTTCTACAATATCACTGCTCCTAGAGATGCTCCATCTTCATTAGGGGCAGAATTCACTCAAGACTGCAAGGGTAGAGGTGGTCAGTAAAAAGGAGGTTAGAGCGTGCTCTCTGGCTCAGACTCATTAGTGTCTAGCTTAAGGCTTTACAGACCAAGCTCTGGTGATGAGTGATCATAATACCTCAGGAACAATCCCACGTTCTTGTGCATGGACAGACCAGGTGTGGCCTGGACAGCACATCTGGCTCCACTAGCAGGTAAAAGTGAATTCAGTGGGAGAATCTAAAGCAGCAAAGTATTCTGTCATCACCCTTCGCTGGTCAGGAGGAGGAGGCAGCTAAAAGTCTTGCCAGGTAGAAAAGGCCCTTTGTAGAGAGCCCCTTTTCCCCCTTCTGCAGGGGGATGAGGACATGGTATTCCTAGGCTGAGGTTGAGCTGACAGGCAGTGGGGCTTTGACTGTCTGTGTTTACAGCCTGCAAAGTGAATATAACCCTACGGGAAGGCCTGGAACTGCAGGGGAAGATCGGCACACCACACTACCCCAGTTACTACTCACCCAACACACAGTGCACATGGCACTTGACGGTAAGAGCCAGCTCCCACAGGAGCATCCATTCCCTCCTGAAACCCATGTGGTATTCCCCACATAAAGGGAGCCACAGCACCCAGCCAGTGCTCTTAGTGAGAAGGCCATGAAGAGTAAACTAGGGGGTGGCAGCCGGCCTAGGCTTCCCACAGTGAATGTTACTGAAGGGGAAGGAGTTTAGGACTGCACGCCAGAGCAGAGATGCCATAGCTGAGGAGGAATCTGCAATCTCACCTCCAGTGGAGTTCTTCAAGATAGAACCTGATTACATGCTCTGCGAGCAGCAACAGAGCTGCCCTGGGCTATAGCATGGCGCTAGTTTGGATGGTGATTCCTTCTTGCCTGCAATGTGTGAATTGGCAGCTCCCTCTTCACATACATCCTGCTCCTTTCTTTTGCCTTGGGTGGGCTGCAGCAGTCATAGGAGCCACCTCCCCTCTGTTCTGGGTCCCCTCTCTTGCAGGTCCCATCTCTTGACTATGGGGTCACCCTGTGGTTTGATGCCTATGCACTCAGCAGACAGAAGTATGACCTGCCCTGCACCCAAGGCCAGTGGATAATTCAAAATAGGAGGTGTGTGCTGGGGTCCTGGCTTCTGTCTCTCATTTTCCATCTTCAGAGCTGAGATTAAACCTCTGCAGATCTCCTGCTCATGCCAGTTTTCAGCTCTGAGGAAGGAGATCCCATCACCCACTGAGTGGCCACTGTTTGTGCTGGTGCCTCTTGCTTGTCTACTTCTTTTTCAGCCTCCCTGGTTCACAGGTTCCCCAGTGAGCACATTTCTTACAGATTTGCTTTGAGTTACCAGCCTGCCGTCTCAGACTTGCTTTTTGCATTAGGCTTCCTAGTTTTCTCCTGTGTGTGTAACCTTGGCATCCTCCTACATCTCCTGTGTTTGCAAATCTGCCTGTCACCACCTCTGTAATATTAGCTGCATGTGCCGTTGCCTCACATCCACCTCTGTACAGATGTTTCACCAAGCTCCATATCCTCCTGCTTTGACTAGAACTACTTCTCCTGTGGGACTTCCTGACTCCAGTCCCTGCACATTGCTGGGGCTGCTGCACACCACTGCCCATGTGCAAAGAAGTGACAGGTACTGCACTCTCATCTCCTCAAAGTAAGCTCCAAGCTGGATAGATCCATGCAAAATTTCTCCCTTCTCTGCAAAACCCTTCTCATTAACCTTATCTCCACTGCTCCTGTAGCAGTAACTGCTTTTGCCCTCACGGATCTAATCCAGAAGCTACTGAACGCTGTTCCTCTGGCTTAGGATTTTGACGTTTTCTCTCCTTGCCCTTCTCTTAAACTGTCACACCACAGTTTCTAGACCATGACTTAGGGAGATAAATATAAGAACTGAATTGATTTGCGTGGCCTGAACTCAGCACTTGCCCAGAAAGGGGGAAAAGTCCAAAGATAAAGGGTCGCGCTGACTCACATGTGGCCTGATAGAAGAGTTGGGTCATGGTATGTACAGACTGGTTTTGTCCTGTTCTTTAGGCCTGAATATGGTGACTGATTTTATTCTACTGTCCCCTGCTACTTACTGGCAAATATCACAGCCATTCCAGTTGTTTCATTGTTTCCCTTCTCTTTGCAAGCAGTTCCTATCACAGCATTCATGTGTGGTTTGGTTTGTTGTTGTTGTTGTTTTTTTTTCCACTCCTGTTTCTTTCTGTCTCTGGGGCTTCCTCACACAGCTTTGCCAGTCATTTTGGGCCAGTCCCCAGCTTAGTTATTCTGCCTTGCATCTAGAGAAGACCCCTTGTTTCACCAGAATTACTCTCTCTTCAGGTTGGCTTTGCTCAGTTGCTAAGATGTGGCCAGGCAGAGCAAGATCCAGAGCAAGATCTCTCCCATATGCTGACAGGGCTTGAAAGGCCACAGCCTTTTCCCATTGCTCCTTCATAATCTCATGCCATACTGAAGGCATTTTGCCTTGCCCACTTGCCCCCCCACCTTTGTGGTCCCCTCCCCACAAGCCAGTCACAGCTCCCCCAGCCCCACAGAACCCCCACTCTGCAGCCTTTCCTCTTCCTCACTGCTTGGGACGTCACACCTGTGCTTGCTCATCAGGTTGTGTGGCCTGCGGACGCTGCAAGCCTATGCTGAGCGGATTCCTGTCACGTCCTCTGCTGACATCACTATCACCTTCACCTCACAGATCTCCTTAACCGGCCCTGGCGTACAGGCTGCCTACAGCCTATACAACCAATCTGACCGTAAGTGCAGGCCACCTCTCTGCCCCTCAGTGTGGTGGGGAGGTCCCGGCTGGTTACCAGCAACCCCTTGCACTCCTGGCTTTTGTTAGGAGAAACACAAGACACATCTTGTGAGTCCTAGGTACCAACTGCCCTTCATGCACATGGTCACAAGCACAGGGAAGCGCACACTACTGATCTCCCACCTCCCACAAAAAAGGGAATTTACATGTGAAACTGCTTCTGCACATGTGGCCCTGCCTCGTGTTCTCAGAGCATCCAGGCTCCAAGGCCAGAATCAAAGAACCACTTACAGGCTCATCCCTGCATCTGCATTACTGGCCTTGGGAATTCAGTGAGACATCTCTGACCTGAAGCGGCTTTTGTTTTGATTATAAAAGCTCTTAGAGAGAACTATTTCCTGCTCACCTTGGAATTTGTGCTGGTGGAAAATAAAGCCACAAATATGTATACACACATATGCAAAGGCACATCCATTGTCTTTCTTTCCAAGGTTCCTCAGTCTTCCTCTTAAGTGGTGCCTGTAATGCACACCAGTTCCTGAATGCATGCACCTGGTGACACGTCTGACAACCCCTTCAAGGTCCTAACGGTTTTAGTAACATTCACAAAGAATCTATTCCCGTTTTGCCCCTGCACTCAAGGATAAAGCAGAGGCATACCATGCTGGGGGGGGGGGGGGGAGGTGACTGTCTAGGTTCTTGCCCATTGATATTCCGGGAAACAGGGAAACTGCTCTTGCCCCACGGCACAGCCCAGCTCCATTTGCCCTTGTGCAGAGCGGATGATGTAGCAGAATCTGGGGAGCTTAGCGAGCACTGTGCGCATGCTGCTACAGCACATGTGTGGTTAGGAAGGTGCATAGCTCCGCACTCCACTTTCAAGTCACAGTGCTTTGCTACAAGGAGGTTTCCAGTCACTGGGGACTAATCATTCGCTTGTGGTTTTACAGCCTGTCCTGGGGAGTTCCTGTGTTCTGTGAACGGCTTGTGTGTTCCCTCCTGTGATGGGATCAAAGATTGCCCCAATGGGCTGGATGAGAGAAACTGCGGTGAGTGATTTCTCCTCCATGCCAGTTCCTGATCTCAGCAGGACACAGCTTCTTGCTCTCCCAAAGGTGGGGAGAGCTGGGGAAGATCCAAGTAGCCTGAGCATAGCCTGAACTCCCCCTGGGAGCTGAAACCTCTGCAGTCATAAATGCCTCATAAATGCCAGGCAGCTTCAGCCTACTCCTGCCAGAGCAGAAATGCTGAAAATATTCTTCTGCACCAAAAGCTCCATATAGCCTGAAAAAAAACCCCTTCCCAGGCTGTCCCCTCCATGGCCTGCTTTTCTTCTCCAGGCCTGACACTGAAGCTCAGCCCTGGCCTACAGTCCCCACTGCTGTCACAGTCCCCAGCCTTCCCATCTTGCCCAACACCACCCAAATCCACCTGCTACCCTGCTCTCAGCCCACCCCTGCCAGGCCATGTGTGAGACACTTGAACTGTACAGGTCCTGATTCATATATTGCCCCCCAGGTTGGGAGTGTCTGGGTCCTCAACCTGCCATCAGTTCCTCAGGCCAGCGTCAGTTAGTGCTGACACAGACACTGTCCCTGGTATCCCAGGACTCTGAGAAAGCCCCATTCTCACTGAAATAGCTATTTAGACTCAGACCTGACACACATTTCAGCCACTCTCCCACTCCTGGGTGCTCATCACATTGCTTCCACTGCTAATTTTTCATTAGTTGTCCCCTGTAGCTGTTTGGTTCACAGACAGAAAGATCCTTGAACCTGAAACCAAATCCAAAAGATTCAGAGGAAGATACAGAAAAGACTAACATTAAAGGAAGGAGTAAGCTTTCTAAAAGAAGTTTCCCTTTTAATTCAGTGCTGGAAGCATGAGAGTTTTCACAGAATCATAGAGCCACTGAGGTTGGAAGGCACCTCTGGGGCTTGTCTCAGCCACTCCCCTACTCAAAGCAGGGTCACCTGGAGCGGGTTGCTCAGGGCCATGTCCAGTTATGTTTTGAATATCTCAAATAATGGAGACTCCACAACCTCTCTGGGCAATCTATTCAAATGTTTGACCATCCTCACCGTAAAAAAAAAGATTTTTCTTACATTTAAATTGAATTTCCTGTATTTCAACTTTTGTGCTCTTGCTTCTCATCCTGTCACTTGATATCAGTGAGAACAGTCTGGCGCAGCTTCCTTTCCTCCCTCCCATTAGGCATTTATATTCATTGATAAGAGCCCCTTGAGCCTTTTCTTCTCCAGGCTAAACAATCCCAGCTGACCAGAGGGGAAGAATCACCTCCTTCGACATGATGGCATGTCAACATGATGTTCTTCCTCACGAAGGCCAGGATATTGCTGGCTTGCTTTGTCACGACGGTGCATTGCTAGCTCATGTTCAATTTATTGTCCACCAGAACCCCCGGGCCCTTTTCTGCATAGCTGCTTTCCAGCCAGTCAGCACCCAGCATGTACTGGTACTTGAAGTTATTCCTCCCCAGCTGCAGGACTTCGAATTTCCCTTTATTGAACTTCATGAGATACCTGTTGTCTCATTTATGCAGCCAGTCAAGGTCCCTTTGAATAGCAGCTCAAGCATCAGGTTTATCAGCCACTCCTCCCTGTTTTGTTTCCTCTGCAAACGTGCTAAAGGTGCATTCTGTCACATCATCCTGCTCTCTGACATCGGGGTTTGCTTGCTTCCTTCATGCAGATGTGGATATATATATATGCATCCATATAAATATCTAAACCTTTTTTGAATCCTGCTAGCTTCCTGGACTCAGGGATGTCTTGTGACGTTTAGGTCCACAGGCTAAGAAACTCAGGCTGAATAAAAAGGAATTTGTTCCTCAGTCTTTCCAAATACCCTTCTGTATCTGAAAAAGAAAACAGAAACATCATCATTTGCTTCCCTTCTTACATTCTTGCTGCTGTTGCATCCCTGCTTATTCATTTCATGTCAGTATGGAACAGTCCCTGTCTTTAAAATCTGCACTGACATTGCCTCAGACCTTTGTGTGCCCTTAGTCATCTGGAAGCCTCACACTTAATTACTGAAGTAACAGTCATTGTAGTAAGGTGAGGATAGGGAGCTACCAGCCCATTATGTTTGGTGTTGCACGTAGCTACCTGCAAACACAAAGCAAGGAGAGAGTTCCTGTCACAAAAAATTACAATCAGAAATCAGACTTTATGACAGGTAAGCACCCTATGTTCCTCTCCCTTAGCAACTACCAAAACTCCAAGGAATGATGCTAAGGAATCCAGTAAGGTTCAGGACTCACTCACCTATCAGAGAGCATCAGGAGTAACTGCTCTGTAAGGAAAGGTGATCCAGGAGCTGAGGATGACAGCAAGGCAGGAGGGACCATGACCCTGCCAGCAAGGATGCAGTCCCACTGGACCTGAGCAAGGCGAGCAGAGCAGGTCCTGCGACGGGGATCAGGATCAGCCAAGAGTCCAATGACTGCAAGGAAAGTCCATAGTGATGGGGCAGGTCAAAGGTCAAACAAAGAAGTCAAGTCAGCAAGGCAAGTCAGGATCAGCAAGGTACAGGGCAGAGTGTAGGCATGCCTACAACATATCTCAGGCAAGGACCAACAGCAAGGGCCTGAGATTATATGTAACTCCTGAGCAAAAGGGACTAGGCTCCTCCTTCTCACTGCTGTTATCATGGCAGTCCGTTTCAAGATGACATAGCTGCCCCTTATCAGAGCTAGCCTTTATGAGGTGGATTAAGAGCCTGCAGACCTTGTTGGCGCACTTAGGGCCCTCACATCATTTACCTGACACCAAAAGCAGTTGTGCTTCTTCAGCTAATGCAGCTACATGGTTTCTGGTACCCAAGCTAGTATCTGTATATCTGGTACTGGAGTCCCCCTTCCTCCCAGTGCCACCTTGCAGGCCTCCCACAAGCAACTGCCTTGTGCATTGTATACATGTCCTTGAAGCTGGTCACATAAATTCTACATGCTGTGGCCAGAGTTTACAGAGCGGCTTCCTTAGCTGCTGTCTTGTATTTTGTAAACTTTATTGCTTAAATAGACTGTAGAGCTGATAGATCTGAGTGTAGCCTGCATAAGGCCAGATGACGGGAACAGCACTCTGAACTAAGTGAGCCTGAGGAAAGCAGGAAAAAGGAATTAGCTGTGTTCACAGTAGAGCTGGGTGGCATTGCCTTGCAGCTCTTTCAGACTGAGGGCCTTCATGCTGGCAATTTCTTCAGACCAGTCAACTCACAGTAGCATATTAAGCTGCCAGAACGAATCCTAAAGTTACAGCATAGGCTGAAGGCAGAAATTTTTTAACTTGAAAGAGCTGGACTTTGGTGTAGACATCAAAAAGAAATGCCTAGGCTGGGAATCTTGCCCTACTGTTTCATTGACATCTGCTCTTTGCATCTGATGCCAGGAATCTCTTGGTAAAGCAAGGGTTTTAGATCCTCTTGCCCTGCACTAGCCAAATGTCACATAGCACCCAGGTATGGGAAGAGAGACCCAGCCCTGCCTTGTGTTTCTAACTCCGAGATGTTTCCATCCATGCAGTGTGCTCTGCAAAGTTCCAGTGCCCAGAGGAAAGCACT